CCTTTAATATTTATTTTATTTCATCGTTTTTGACGTCGTCGAAAACCAACAAGTAAATGGGCTGCAGTAAAAGGAAAATAGACGTATTCCCTTCCTAGATTCAGCGATTTAGGCGCCTGAACCTTTTTTCCATCTCTCTTGTTAGTTTGTTTTTTTAATATGCTATAACGTTCCCGAAATGGACACGAGTCCATCGAGACCCGTAGAGTTAGACTCGGTCAAGCCGTCTTTAAGTTACAAGTGTACAAACAACCAAACAGACAGACAGACAAACATACATACATACATACATACATTAAGGCCAAATACAATACCTGCTATCGTTGTCGCGTAAAACGCTACAGTTTGGAAAATTGAAGTTGCCTTGTACATTTCAAAAACATGTGGATGTTATCGTTATCATTCGCATATAATTTAATACTGTTATTTAGTTCTTGTTAGTTCAAAAGATATAGATACATAATGTTGGATATTTCAAATATTTTTAAACGTATACTGTCTAATCTGTACAGATATATTTTTAACGAATACGACTGAGAAACAAAAATGAATTACCTTCTCTCTGGTCTTGATAAATTCATCTCCGAAGAAATAAAGTATAAAATCCTCGCAAAAAGTTATTAAGGATATTATATTGGTACATTATCATAATGATAGTAAAGTATAACGTAATTATATTACGTTCTAAGCGATAATTACCAAGAAGAAAATTTTCCTTTGTAGCGCGTTCATTACGGCATGATATAATCTTATTTGTTTAATCCTCGTACAACTATCGAGCATGGGCGTTCCTTCTCACTTACGCGTATGTCCGTTTAAAATCACTAGTGCAAGAAATATTAACTTTCGCGAATGATTGATGTATTACGCTTTCGTGTTTCATGCTCGTTATTTCGTAATAACGCGATTATTGGTCTTTCTTACTCATTATTTCCCGGTGAACATCGGCGTCAGCGTTCCTGGAACGATTTCTGAAATCATTTAAACGAGTCAATTCCGTGTCGTTTATCCTTCTTTGAATTTCCTTCGTTTATTGGTTCAAAATTAATCTCAAGATTAAAGAAAAATTCAAAATTGTTGTACACGTAAATATGTACGTTGTCGAATGTGTAACGATTTTCGAAATAATCGTAATGATCGATCATCGATAAACGAAGACTAGAAAGAAGAAGAAGACGATATTTTACGCTTGTACAACAGTTTCAAAATGCGGTACGCTTATGTCACTATTAATCTTACGATTAATCTTACGTTGCTAAAATCGTTCTTTTATCTGATTTTAATGTTAAAGATGTATTTTACCGTCCTTTTCGTAACTTAAAAATTAGTGCTTCTTGCAATATTGAGCGTATTAAAATATTTAATTGTCGTCGACAATTATACAAAATATATAGCTTTTGGCCTCTACAAAATTTTGTTACTTATATTTGTCAACCTAATAAATTCTTTCCATTTTTAGCTGCGAATTTTGTTATTATAATAAAATATTCCGTTTCGATCGAAGCGACGTTAAAACGAAAGAATTATCAAAAATTCTTGTTGAAATTACTGAAATTATCTGCTTATCGTGTGCTTTATCAATAATCTTCAAACGTGATATTATTATATTCTAATTCTTGTAAATCGCAGCCTCGCGAGACGATTTGAATAAGCGGAAGGACGAAATCATCGTTTTTGGTAATCCTAGCGATCCACGGCCGTGTTCCAAATCCTTGACTTCCCGCGGACACACTCAGATACGTGCAAGAAAACGGAGTCAAGAACGTAAGTAGCAGCCAGCGACGTATGCGAACACATTCGTTTTACCGGTTGTCTACCTGTTCTGGGTCAGTCGCGTGTGCAAGGTCAGATCCCAAGAATCTCCAACGTCACTCGTCAAAGCCGAAGACCGCGGTTCTCGCGTGCCGTCTACAGTAGAATGGTCGTCATTTTTACCTTCGATTCGACGACTCACCACGAGAAAAATACGCGTATACTTCCTACCGGCATCGATGAATCCGATTTTTCTTCGATTCCATGGCTATCGCGTTCAACGATTTTCATTTCAATCCTCTGCGTTATACTAAACTGAAATTCGCCTAAATTTGTCTCTTGAAAAATTTCACTTTGGAACGTTTACATTTGTAACTTAAACAGTAGTAATATTAACCTAAACACTAGAGTATAATCTATAAAGTTTACAAACTTTATGCGACTTTTAGGACACTTTCAGTATGTAATTTTATTGTTGAGTGACAACAAAAGCATCTTTTGCCCGCAAAACGTTATAAATCGTAAGATACAAGCATCGCGAAAAACAATCAACCTAAGCGACTTTATTCCACTACACTTAATGATTATCTTATCCGCATCACCGAAGACAAAAGAGATTATATTTCTATAGATATTGTCAACTCTTATTCTTTTATTACTTTTCGCTTTTGCAGTATCACGTTGTATATTGTGTCTAATTGCAGAAAGATTATATCTCTAATTATTCGAAAGAAAATTGTTCTAGAAGCCTAAAACATAATATCATAAATGACTGTTACTGCAAAGTCCAAGTCTACAACTTGCAAAAATAAAGGATAAAAATAAATGACGAAAGTAGATAAACTGATTGCAATAGCAACCATATATACTCGTGTATACATATGTAAACAAGAGAATTATGCGTTATTGTAAATGTCTATTACAAATAACGAAAGTATTATACGAACAAACGATGAATGAATGACAACGTACTCTGACTAAGAAATGAATCGTTTTCTAGTGTAAAGCCGATATGTAGCTTGAATCATCGCCGAATTTTTAATCAGAGTTTCAGTCGCGCATACGTGAATAACAAGTCCTACGATCTTTGCACACCAACTAACTATTATCGTTTTCTTTATCGTTAGCTGCTAAGACCGAAGCGACGTCACTGTTCCTCGATCTGACGAGCCATAAGTCAACACTAAATATAGTGATCGCGTATTATCGCGCGTTTCTGGCCGGATTCTTTGCATGTTTAACTGTTGTTGTTGCATGTTAAATGTAGAAATTAATCGCGAGCATAGTTACCTCTTACTCAAGAATAATTGCCAACTGTCGTCATATTAGATGTATTATCCGAAGAATGAAAATTAGTTAATGCGTATATTTGGAAATTTCTAATGACGATTGAACAATTAAATTTGATCCTCTGACGAGAATATTGTTCTTCGCCATAATATTTTCACTATCGTCGACTAATACTGTTCCAACAAATCGTATTTATTTATTTATTATCAACGTATCGCCTCGTCTCATTCATTTCGTTTATTTCACCATGACGTTGTGCAAATATGGAAATATTTGCCTCTTTTAAACAATCGCATTCCGATCGATGAAACGAGTATCGATCGGAAAATTTGTACAACGAATTAAGACGATTCCATTTAAGATTTGATTACAGTTGTATATTACACCTCGAAACGAATTAGAGTGTCGTGATACGAGATGAAACTGTTCACCGAGAATCTTTCACCTCCCACTTAAGGACAATTCAAGTATTACGTATGAACAGCCACTTGGTTGTACCTTGAGGAGAACAGAAGTACATAAGAGGGATCACTTTTGTTCTTGCCAAGGGAAAGTGAAGACGAGTCCGTGAAGTATGTATTACATACGATTCAAAGGGAATTAAAGTACTTGCTACTTGAAAAATCTTACACTTGCATCGTTTCTCGAGAATTATCAAGATTTAAATAATTTGTACTAATTTCACAATATCAAATTATCTTATTAGGAATCTTAATTTGCCTATCGGAGTAGTCATTTACGAACCCAATAAACCAATCAACTTGTACAGCTAATTCTAACTTTCCACGTGTCGTTATTACCTACAAATCAATTGCACGATAAAAATGATATTAAGTAAATGAGGAAATAAAATTAGTGTATAAAAATCACGGTATATATTATAATAATAAATTTTATTAAAAATTTGCAACGAATAACTAGAATTCTCCTGTTTACAGGAAATTCCTAACTACGGTCACTTTTTGTCAAGAATAATCCACTTCAACTTCGACTTTCAAAGCGTTTCCTCGAGTTTGACATTTCTTTCCGTAAATTTTCGATTCGCGAAAGGTGTGTTATGTAAGGTCTTTGACCTCGTTACGGTGATTCCCGATAGTTTCACTGTCTGGACCGAATGCACGCGGCTAGTCCAATGAGAAAGAACCTTAAGTACTCTTCTGGGTGGGTGCGTTGAACTTACCGTCGCATTCCGTATTGATTTCGGTGGCACTGCGCGACTGGAGCCAGACGTTACCTACGGCACGTGTCCGTGTAGGGCAGACACGCCCAATCCGGACTTTCCATAGAACGAAATCGGCGATCCCATGGAGATTAAAGAACGTACAAAATATGTCGATCCTCTCATGGAAACTGCACCAGACACTTTCACTGAAAACGACTGATGACTAAAGCGTGGACATAATCGGTTAATCGTTATGCCGATGGCACAGCCTTACGCAAGGCCTCGAAGACCTTGAACGGGACCTTATTTGGTAAGCAAGGTCGAGGCTTTGCGGACCATTGGGTTTTCAGGCCGCCCACAATGCACCTCCACCTTACTTGGATTTAATTCTTCCTATTGCGGACTTGTCACGATAACGGAGAAAGTAAATAGAGACACGTCGTGTGATACAGCAGGAGCAGCTGGAGCAGCGAAGGTTAGTACTTACGCGTGCTGTTGAAACATAGTCATACATAAGGCATAGTCATACATATTGTCAATTGCAAATATGCATATTTCTATCTGTACTGTAATTTTCATCGAAACGTGTATAGCATGTGTTTTTATATGAACCACGTAGAAGTCGATCTGGCCAATATCGGGGAACAAATTTTGATAGAGGTTAATCGTTTGGTTTCTATAAAACTAAACGCTAATATGAGAAAAATTATGAAATTTTCAAGAAATACAATTCATCGGTTCGGTTTCTGCATGACTCATATATTCTCTTTGAACTTTGTATAATCAATAAAAATAATTTCCGTAGATACCATTGTATTGTATTTATCTTTTGATATTATACTTGAATAAAATAACGTATTGTCTAATAAAAACCTGAGCGGTTAAAAGGACAATGGAGTTACACGAAATTGACGTGTATAAAGATGCTGTGTGCGTGTGACAGCTGGGTGCCGGCTTCGATGTTTCGAGGTTAGGTTAGACTTGGGTGAAGCAGTCCATCCGTTTATCTGGCACATTAATGACGTATATTTAAATTTGACGTCCATATAAAGTATGGTGGTTAAATTTAAAAAATAAAAATAATCATGAAATTCTACACGTAATCAAAAATAAAATCAAGAACAGAATTTGACACGTCCTCGTAGAGGAACGAGTGCATAACCCGATACGATTTCTTATTAGGTACAAATGATTCACTGATTATGTCATCAAAGCACTATTTCGACAAAGGAACGTGGCAGGTGTATTTATAAAACTGTTCTGTTTCCTCCACTATACCTTTCGCAATGTCCAAACTTAAACAATATATTAATAATCAATGGTACGTATCTCACATGTATTTCTTATAAGGCATTAAGTTCAAAGTATGTATGCGAATGTTCTGTTAATATGAATGAGCCAACTTTGAAAACACATTTTTAAATAGATTTTAAGATTTACGATATTGTATTAACTCAAACGCTATTACGACTTAAAAAACGTATAATTGTATATTTAAACGAACGATATTTCATCAACGTCGCTATTAATTAATTTCTTTGTATTTTGCTTTTTAACTGATAACAACATGCTTTATTAATAGTAATGATTACGACTGATAAACGTGTTAATTACAAAATGTTTTACGACAAAATAACAACCAGTATCATCAGTCGTACTTTGACGTTTCCATCACCACGTGGTTTCCGTGCACAAGTACGATGTACCATTGTAGACTGCACGAACACGCGTATCGATTTTGAAGCAGACACTGCACTCACACACACCATGCCGCCTTCCGTCGGACCGACACATATACAGGAAATAGGGCCGAAGCATAGGGCTTACGTGACGTGGTAGTAGTCCAGTGCACCCTTATCCGCGCCCTTGAGTCTATTTTTAGCTTCTGTTGTATGAAAAAGGCGGCCGAGATGACATATACCACGCGCAATAAGTGGGTGGACGAACATCATTTAATTACTTACTCTAAGCCTACCTTAAAATACTTCAAAAACATGTTAACTTTTAGGCAGACATTAGTTGTCCTACTCTAAAACGAAATCTAGACAATGAGTATGCATAAATAGTGAAGTCTGACCTACTGACTTTCTAAATCCTTCTTGCGAATTATTTTCCTTCTGGCGCAATTTTTTAAAAGAAGACAAGTAGTACTAAACATGGTATGCAGATTATTACTACAATAATATGAGTCACTAACATTCATTAATATTGAAAGTGACACAGTAACTGAATTTTTTGGAAATAAATCATCAATGACCTTCTACTAACGCCAGCTTATTCTATTTGACTATGTTGTAAAGGCTTGACTATGTTGGTTTGGAGGTTTGACTATGTTGTTGTAAAGGAATATTATTTTATCAAATTTTACGGAAAGACAATTTGTTACCCTTTCTCGTTCGAAGATTCGCTTTCTTCAAATATAATCATATCATATCCTGGTTAAGGAATAAATCTAGTGCCAAGATATGTTATGTAATTACAACTAATGCGAAAGAAATATGATTTTTGCTAATAACTTTTTAAGTAAACAAGACGGTAAATAGGTTATATATATATATATATATATATATATATATATATATATATATATATATATATATATATATATATATATATATATATATATATATATATATATATATATATATATATATATATATATATATATATATATATATATATATATATATATATATATATATATATATATATATATATATATATATATATATATATATATATATATATATATATATATATATATATATATATATATATATATATATATATATATATATATATATATATATATATATATATATATATATATATATATATATATATATATATATATATATATATATATATATATATATATATATATATATATATATATATATATATATATATATATATATATATATATATATATATATATATATATATATATATATATATATATATATATATATATATATATATATATATATATATATATATATATATATATATATATCAAGAAATACGAGTTTTTCTTGTGGAAAGAATTTAGCATAAAATTGGAACAAAAAATCAGGCCTACGAATAAGAGTTCTCTCACATTTTCCTCAAATTTAAGAAATCAATGGCAAAAGATGATTAGGTGAAAAATGTCCCGGGATTAGTAACATGATTCCTATTTCATTAAATTTCGTAACATAAATTCGACGAACTTCATAATATTATTTCACAGATGGGAATTTCCATGAAAGCTTACGAATGAGTAGAGGATCATTAAATCTCAATGACAACTGTTTCGACTTGCATCGAGTGAAAAAAAATGTTGACCATTCCAAAGTATATAACAAAACTTTTTCTGACTCATACCTACTGCCGGTACTGGTCGCTAGCACGCGCACACAAAGAACGTGATAATCTTCACATATACGTTCGTACATATTGATACGTTTACTACTACAAACAGCTCTGACGGTTAGTCAGGAAAGCCCTTAGCTAGTGTACGCTTCCAGAAGGCATTATGCTCCCCGTATCGTACAGTTTGAAGCGGCATTTGGAGAATCTAGCCGGCAGCCGGCCAACCGACCAATCAGCGAGCCGCTTTCGTTTTATGCCCATATATGGCAAGAGCTGTGAATCCAAGTGGTGGGGAAGCCGGACGAATCCATTCTGAAACAGGGGTGTACTAACTATGATGATATTGAAAAATATAACTTTAAAATAAACAGATGATCGTTGAGTTTCTTATTTTTCAGACTTTCATCGTTCAATTAATTTTATATTATGCACAAATTTAAAAAATAAGAGGAAACAAATAGGAAATATGTTAGGTAATATGGGACATTTACAGCGTGTATACCGACCATACCTTTGAGCGAGTCCACATGACACGGTACCGGCCACGATCTTGCTCACTCACAGTGTTCGCAACTCGCGGCTCTCGAGTCTCGTTTCGTCGTGCCGATAGTATTCTTGCGGTGTCTCTTTGCCGATCAACGATCGTGTACTTTGTTGGTTACCTTCGATTCTAAAAGGTAAGTACTGTACCGTTCAGAGTGTTAAGTTCAACACTGTTATTAATTTAGCGCGTTTCACGGCGATCTGTCATAATCTTAACGGCGAAAAGATCGAGGACAAACGCCGGTTCATAAGCAGCCATGATGGCAGGGCGTTGCTCTCTCCGTTTCTGACTTTTCTCGATATAGCGCCTATTTCTTTGGGCAATTTGTTTCTACTAGCATTATCTTGAAAAGGGAGAACGTACCGGGACGATCCGACAGGTTGTCGTTGTCAAGTGGTTCCTGACGTGTACGCACTGTAAGGCAGGTGGTCGCGACGTGGTCGTTTATTAATAGCAGTACTCTGTAGTTAGGATGTTACAGCACTAACTTGCGATTATGCTAGCTCGTAGTATGAAATACCAACGTAAATTTATCTGTTGGGAAATTAGGATGCTAAGTGCAAGAAATTGTTATAGCGTACCTATTTTCTGTACGATACCCTAATTCGAATATTTATAGTTATCACTCTTTGAAGTTAATTGTAACCGTTTCTAAAAGCATGTATAAAATAATAGTATTTAAGTATAATATTACACATTCTCATAGTTATCTAACGAAGAGAAGATAATTATCTATTTACATAAACTGTACTTTATAAAGACTAATAAAAGCAGTCGAAATTGAGCCAAAGAGATAAGCGTATATTAAGTATTCTTAAAGGCATCTTTTTATAATAACCATAAAGTTACTAATATTCGGATATGTAAATTGTAATATTAAAAAGTTTTCTTTGCTCGAGGGTCTTGTATTTAATAAGGGTCGGCGAGAAATACCCAAATTGAATTAAAAAAAAGAAATGTCGAAATTAATTATTTATTATTTTGATGTATAAAAATATCGAGTGACATTGAATATGGTCGAAACAGAGCTTACGTATCGTGGGGGAGAGGAAGGGAAGCATTGGCAAGATCGGAGATGTGCGGTTCGGTCAATTTGGCAGATACATTCACGAAGGGTGGTGAGACACACTTCAAACGGTCGGAGAAGGGCAGATAGGGGGTGGAGGGGGTAAACCCCTCCGTGGCAGAGCACTTCCATATATGGTAAAGAAAGCCAGGATTGGCTGAGGGTGTCCTGCCTTTATTGGCCGATTGCTTGGTGGTGGGGACCCCGAACAACGACTCTGTTCATATAATACACTGCAAGCCGGCTGTCAGCTACACTCTGTGTTTGGTGCTAGATCGGTCGGTTGTGCGGCAGTGTCACATCCAAAGATCCCGAGCTCCCTAACTTGTACATAACTTTTTTTATACGAAACGAAAAACGTAAGTCATCACATCCTAAGTCCAGTGATAGATAACATTCTACGATACGAAGTTCAAACGAATTTAAGAATCCTCAGTGCAACTAAGTAGAAATTAGTGCGTGGGCGAATAGTTGATCGACAAATCGTACATCCGAGCGTGGATTTCCAAATCGAGAAGTGGGTGGTGTTAGGCTTAAGATACGCTTGTGTCAAATTTTGTGTGTTCTGTGTTCCATCTTTTCAATTGCACTATAGGATAGTGTAGTTACAAGTAAAAGTAGTTATAAGTATCGGTGACGCATTACATGTGAATGAAAAAAGAACCGAATTCTTTTTACGAGAAGATGTCAATCTTTAGAATGTAAAATATGCTCGAAGTATCTCAAGACTGTATTTTATTGGAGTAAGGATAGTTTTCCTATGTCTGTTGGTTAACTGAGTAAAGCTTGTAGTCAATTTTCTATGTTCTTAGCACTGTAAGGATTTATTCTTTGAAAATCATGTCGGATATTGACCGTTTAATGCCGGGGAAGGGCGGGGCAGGGTGCGGTTCTAGTTAACGGAGGTTTACAAGGCAGTAAAAAGTTCGTCATGATTACGTACTTTTTCAGTGATACTTATCTTGATATGGAAAAATACATAGAGTATATTTGTGTCTATGCTCATCGAATGTCCTATTTGAGATAGTTAATTTTTATCGCGATAGTGTAATGCTACGTGTCGCTGAACGCCATCTTGAAAATATTTAAAATATTGCTTCACAGTACATGCTATTTTGTAATCTGCTATCCTGATTATAGGGTAATATGTCATGAATGATTTCATAGTACATCTTTATATGTAGTTTAATTTTTATCAAGTATTTAAGACGATATTAAGCAATAATTTAGCTTCGTTTTTTTAGAACTTATTTGAATACTATAGAGACTACATTTTGAAATATCTATCCATGTGAATAATGAATTAGTTGAACTTTGGATTTCCTTTATTATATTTAACGATAATTTATGCGTAAAATAGAAAATTCTCTTAAGAATCGTAAAAATTTGTACTTATTCGTATGGATCGTAAAAGCGAATATGTATATAAGATGTGAAATTATAAAATATGTTTAATAGCTTAACTAAAATTTTATAGTATCTTTTAACTTCGTATTCAATAATTAACATTAACAGACGTTATAATAAAGTACTGCAAAACTGTAATAAAAAAAGGAATCATAATCAAGTAATTAACATCATTTTTTGTTATTTTTGCAGATAACTCAATAAACCAAACATGTGTGACGAAGAAGTTGCTGCACTCGTAGTTGACAATGGCTCCGGTATGTGCAAGGCCGGTTTCGCTGGAGACGACGCTCCACGCGCCGTCTTCCCATCTATCGTTGGAAGACCACGCCACCAGGGTGTCATGGTTGGCATGGGACAGAAGGATTCCTATGTTGGTGACGAAGCTCAATCAAAAAGAGGTATCCTTACTTTGAAATATCCGATTGAGCACGGTATTGTCACCAACTGGGATGATATGGAAAAAATTTGGCATCACACGTTCTACAACGAACTTCGAGTGGCTCCCGAAGAACATCCAGTACTCCTTACCGAGGCGCCCCTCAACCCGAAGGCTAACCGTGAAAAGATGACACAGATTATGTTTGAAACGTTCAATACCCCCGCTATGTATGTCGCTATTCAAGCTGTACTTTCGCTATATGCTTCTGGACGTACTACCGGTATTGTATTAGATTCTGGTGACGGTGTTTCCCACACTGTACCAATCTACGAAGGATACGCTTTGCCTCATGCTATTCTCCGTTTGGACTTGGCTGGCCGTGATTTGACCGACTACCTCATGAAGATTCTCACAGAAAGAGGATACTCCTTCACCACCACGGCCGAACGTGAAATTGTTCGTGATATTAAGGAGAAACTTTGTTACGTCGCCCTCGACTTCGAACAGGAAATGGCAACTGCTGCGTCATCCTCTAGCTTGGAGAAGAGCTACGAACTTCCAGACGGTCAAGTAATCACCATTGGTAACGAAAGATTCCGTTGTCCCGAAGCTCTCTTCCAGCCGTCCTTCCTAGGTATGGAAGCATGCGGTATTCATGAGACAACATACAACTCGATCATGAAGTGCGATGTCGATATCCGTAAAGACCTGTACGCCAACACTGTCCTTTCTGGAGGTACCACCATGTATCCAGGAATCGCTGACAGAATGCAAAAGGAAATCACTGCCCTAGCACCATCCACTATGAAAATCAAGATTATCGCACCACCTGAGAGGAAATACTCTGTATGGATCGGTGGATCTATTCTTGCATCCTTGTCTACCTTCCAGCAAATGTGGATTTCCAAACAAGAATACGACGAGTCTGGACCATCCATCGTCCACAGGAAGTGCTTCTAAGCACATCTTTGATATCTCTTGCATATTATCATTCCCCAAATCCCGAGAGCGGCCTCTGTCTCGTTTCTCGACCATAGGTATTGTTATATGGATATATAATTCAGAGGATTCAATAGTATAAAAGAGATATTTAGGCATTCGAAGATCAGTTTTAAGATATAGTAATGTCTAATTGAATGATGCAGAATGAAAGTAGTAAATCGCTAATTAGCGCAGGAACAGTTCTAAAAGACTTTGCTCTATTTTTTTCATCATTTAATTGGACGCTATTGCGTCTTTTGTGTACTCTCCGAAGTTCTGAGTACTTTACTATTCTATCGAGTCCTTTGTATTATACATTTAAATAATATTCCCTATGGTAGCATCTAGCTAACCACCCTCACGAAAAACATCTTTCTTATTGTCATCGCGATATTTCACTCTACAATCGAAATAATCATATGTTCTTTCCTTTTTTCGAACATGCTATATATTTGCCAATTTTTAATATTCGCGAGTTTGAGCTGAAGGTAAACTATTATATAAATTATTTCGGAATATCGTTCCGATGCAGTATGGAGCCGTTGTGATTATCCTTAATGCACGAAAGATCTTTTAATTTGGTGTCCTCCAATTAAATGCATTCCGTTACTTTACTCTGCGATATTTAACGAGGTTTGTGTCAGTCTTTCTAGAATTCATCATTCCTAGCGGAGATAGGCCTTCGACTTATTAATCATAATCTTTTTTTAATGTTACCGATCGTTGAGGGAAAAGATGGCTCTTTCCTTTCTTTTTTTTTTTTTAATAATGGGGGAGACCGCTGACCCAGAAAAATATCCTACAAACGCTCGCTCAAACGAATAAAAAAGACACGGTTTCGACCCCGCAAGCGTAGCCAAAGTATTATAATTTATTCCCATTGTATTGTGCAAGACCATTCACGTACACATCTTAAAGACTACTTTAGACTTATGGGATTATAAAATAAAACTCTTAAAAACATTATTGCTTTGACTTTTGTGTTTTTAAGATTACAGTTATCCAATACCCTTTACTGGATATTGTGTCCTTGATCTCCAATCCAGTACATCGTAGTTAATCTGAGCTAGAAAGAAAAAAAAGAAATTAATCACTTATTTCATTTAACATGAATTCATGTAGTTTTATATATAACGTAGCTTTTGTACCGTTTGGCGTTATTCATTATTGTAACGTAAGATTTGTGGTAAAAAGTTTATATTACACTAAGAATTAGGTTTATATTTTCGGTCGAATAAAAATTATTTTTAATGAAGTGGTATCTGTTCTTTTTGTAAAAATGCCATTATTCGAGTCATCAAATTTTATTTAAAATTTCATAGTAGAGGCATTTTATCAGTATATTGTACTTATATATTTAATAATACTGCTTTATGAAATATTCGACTAAACCTCCAACTAATGAAGAAATGATCTTATTTGTAAAGTAAGTTCTTTTTAGGTAACTTCTCATAATTATGTATCAATTTTTAATAAACTCGCTACATCATCGAATTGTGATAGTCTTCTATTCACTGAACAAAATGACAAAGATTTTAACTTAGATAACAGTGTCATAACATAGGTACTGCAAATTATTTAGATTTAATACATACATATATATGATAATAATAAGCGCATATAATTTTAATGTGTAACAGTGATAGCTGCAATATTTACATTGCCTTTGTTAGTGATCATATTTAAATTGCAATTAGATGGCAGCACAATGCACTCGACTCATAAAATCAGCTGTCGTGCATACTATCAAATGGAAGGAAGGATACATATATTTGATATGAATTTAAATTTAAATTTTAATTGTCGCATCTATTGCACAGTAAATATTTAATTCTAAAATCTTTAATAATAAATGAGTAAAATTTATGATAAGTTTATATGTAAACAATAAGATAACTAGAGTATATAGTAGATTAAGGAGGAGAAAAATAAAGAGACTTTGTGTTGAGGTTTTGTACGTTCTTAGGACAGTTGCTCTCGAATCATCACTGGAAAAGTACAAAGCGATAGTTAGGTCAATGATACATGGCAGTGGTACCTGTAAGCTCGAGCAAACTCTTTCATTTTAATCTATAACTTCAATCAAAATGCCCGAGCAAAATTCAAGTGATCAATATTCGACATGGGTAAGTTTATAATCGGTGTTATAGATTTTATAATTTTGACATATTTTGATATCACATAACCTTTGACCGTAAACAAAACCTTTCTCGGTTATCGAATGAATGACTTGTTGCTATTTTAAGACTTTGTTTTCTATATATATGACGTTTTGTTATTAATGTGCATTTCAGGTTGGTCTTATATACGTTTTTAACTTAATTGTCGGAACAGGAGCTTTAACATTACCCGCTGTTTTTAGTCAGGCAGGATGGGCTCTTGGATTAAGTGTTATTTTAATACTAGCATTTATAAGGTATATCTATAAAATCTGTATACTTTAATTAATCAGTTTCAAGACTTAATTATATATGTGTATATTTTTTTGTTTTTACAGTTTTATCACTGTTACATTTGTGATCGAGGTAATGGCATCTGCCAATGCTATAGTAGCATGGCGACACATTCAACATCGAAAACGTGTATGTCTTTCTCAAGATTCATCTATCAACGAGTCAGAGTCTGAGGTTTTTAGACTTCTCCTATGTTGTGCTGTCTATGATGATTTTTCTTTTCAGTAGCATTATATTTTTTATATAAAATGGGCTATATATCCTGCTCGGTTAGCCATTTGAGAGCATTTTTACTTAAAATATGTTCTATTTTATGTTATGTTTTAATTGTAGGTACTTCAAACATTAGGTGAATCCGGTCCTTCAAATTCAGATTCTGAAGATACACCTCTTGTTACACCATTTTCAAGTAGTCCTGATTGTGCGGACATGACATACCGATATTATGTAATACGTGATAAAATAGAAATGGGGCAAATGGCATCAATTTTTTTTAATAAATTTGGTACAACATTATTCTATTTATGTTTTGCTATATATCTTTATGGAGATTTAAGTATATATGGAGCAGCTGTTGCAAAAACCTTAGCTGACGTTGTTTGTACTTATCAACCAGCAAATTTTACATGCAATTCTACAATACCAGATACTGAACCGTGTTGGGAAGGGTTTGCTCTGGATCGGGCAGATGCATATGGAGTGTTCCTTGTATGTATAAACAGAGTTGCTGGTATATACCTCAACAATTATTGTTTTCTCATACAGTGATAATAAGTATCATTTTCAGACTATATTTATATTATTGCTGGGTCCTTTTGTATTCTTTAATATTCAAAAGACTAAATATCTTCAACTCTTAACTTCAGGAATGCGATGGCTTGCATTCACTATCATGATTGTATATGCTTTAAAAAATTTAATCATTCATGGTGCGCAAGGAGATCCTCCAGCTGCGAATATCATGGGTAAGTTTATCCACATAACTATAAAAATATATATATGTCGGAGATGAAAGGACATCGGAGCCTTCCCTTTGGAACTTCGGGAAAATCCCTTAACATCGTAATCTAGATTCTATCATAGGCGTAATTAAACAATTGTCGTCATTCGATCCGATTGTATTTGTTCGAGATTTGTGATAATGAGCTTGGGCTCGAGGCGACAACCAGTCGCCGAATGTAGCCGCGGTCATGGGATGAACGCTTTGTCTAACAAAGGTATGGAGTAATTCTATAGCTCTCCTTAAAAGAAATATTTGTAGCGGCACACGACAGTAAATATTCCAACGGTTTCTGTCCCGTGGCTCGCCATACGCAGACCCTATTCTTCGGGTATGATGGTTACCAGATGCCGACGCATCTCCACTGTACATGTTCAGCTAGTCTGAGGGCCGTTATAAACATTAAGATCTAGTTATCTAAAGTCCTTCAAACAGACAAACAGTCTTTGTCCCAACTACGGGAAGATAGAGGAGATCTATTTTTCAACGAACGACGCTTCCCGCTAGCAACCTTCCCTCAAGGACGGCTGGCATCCTTTTCTAGCCACCAACATGGAAATTGACCAATTAACGGCAACGTCAATTTCCCTCACTTTCTGAACGAAGGCTATCCTCGACTAATCCGACGATTCGTGTCCTTAGACACACCCCATCATAGTTTTCCTCTGCAGCATCATCGCGACGGAGGGTCATTCTCTCGTGAGGTCGTTTTTAGCGAGTCACTTAGCGTCTTTACGTTCGGTGGATATTCCACATTTTAACAAAGAGTTTAGTTATACTTCCACCGTAGCCAAGCAAGTCGAGTACGATTTGGGCTTCGGAAGAAAGCGCATCCTGTTATCCCGTTGACCGCGGATTCGTTATTGAACTTAGGATCATTGTCATTAGCTTCTCGAGTACCTAGTTACCACGATTACTTGTCAAATTCTGTAATAATCGTATTTGCACTAGTCAATGTCTTCTCTATCGCATAACGACAATGTATAATCCAAATGGAGATTCGTTTCACGCCCCTAACCCTAATTCTAATGTAAACCCGACATATATATATATATATATTATATTTATTAAATATATATATATTTAGCATTTAACTAAATAAATTTGTTGCATATGCGTATTTCAGGTATACCTAGTTTATTTGGTGCTTGCATTTATTCATTTATGTGTCACCATTCTTTACCTGCATTGATCGCTCCAATCGCAAATAAGTCTACTTTGACCCGATCTTTGGCATTGGACTATTTATTAATAGCATCTTTTTATCTCCTACTGGCATTAACTGGAGCATTCGCTTTCGAACATTTGGACGATCTTTACACTTTAGATTTTAGCCCCCGCGGATCTGGAGACTGTTCCAAAAGTAACAATATTTTTATTATTCTTATAGAATATTTTTTGTCGCTTTTTCCAGTATTTACTTTAAGTACAAGCTTTCCTATCATAGCCATCACCCTTAGGAATAATCTACAATCATTGTTCCTCAGCGATGATACGTCTCATTTGTGTCTTCGTAAAATTGTCTTCCCAATATTAGCAATACTGCCTCCGTATATGATTGCTATGAGTATCAAAGACTTATCGATATTAGTGGGAATTACGGGATCATATGCTGGAGCAGGAATTCAATATTTGATTCCAACGTTTTTGGTATATTATGCCAGACAAAAGACAAATAGACTTATAGGTCTTGGTGTCGTCAATAAATTTGCAAGCCCATTTTCTAGTAATTGTTGGCTAATTTTTGTTATAATTTGGGCCATTGCTTGCATGATTTTAGTATCCGTCAATTTTATACAAATTCATTTCTATTCTATAAGCATACCTTTAGGATAAAAATCTTATGAAGTACTAAATCGAGGATTTAAAGAAGAGGGAGGAGTTACATAATGGTGCGTACTTGAATTGTTTTGTCTTTTGGATCTGCGAAATCTAGAGCATATCTAAAGTAATATCAGTGGATTTGATATTGGTCATTTCCTACATGTAAAAGGAAAATTGTGATACTAGTGATTTTAATGTTTACATTAAAATCATTCTTAAAATACATGGAACTTTTAACAGCAATTCAAATGATAAGTTACCAATGAGAAGAAAAAGTACCTTTAAAATATTAGTAAATATTTATTATTTAAAATGTGTTATAGAATAATTGTTGTAAGATAGAACAACTGAGCAATTGTCCTTGATAATAAGATACCTTCATTCAACTGTTCACACTTTGGCATCATTATTAGAATATTATCTTTTCCATCATATAAGAGAGAATATGGTATTAATAGTGATAATAATACTAATTATGATAATAAGAATACATCATGACACAATGTGTCATAGTAAACTGACAATACACTGGCATAAGTCAGGATTAATCACGTACAAGCCGAATGTATACATTTAATTTATGTTGTAAACTTTTATATAATATCTTTTGTATATTTTTATTCAATAGAGAATATGCCACTCTTAATACAGTTTTTACTGTACATAAATGTCTTTCAACTAAGTGATATTTGGTGGCCAGCTAATAATATTTTGTCCACTATTTCAACGGTATGAAGGTATATTTTAATCTGTAGACTTGTACAATAAACATATGTATGTGCAAAACTATTGAAGGCCTGTATGATACATCAAGAAAGAATTTATTTTAAAAATTTTCTAGCATACTTTATTTTTTATGTGCATAGAAAATATTAGGCAGATTAGATGACTGTTGTTGATTGTATAAATTTGATTTGTATATCACAGAACATATTTTTATATGTATATGGTGTATAATTGCCAACAAAGTATTTGCAATATGCCTCTCATACCGTGTACTTATACAAATATAGTATGTAAATATATAAAATATGTACACATATATTTTCTAAAAATAAACAGAAAAATAAAGAACTGATTATATAAATTTATATTGATTTACTTACATATATATATAGAATGAAAACCTTACTTCATGGCTTCATGCAAAAAATGTTTCAAACAAAGGTTGAAGCCAATCAAAGAAGGCATGATTTAATATCATTAGCGGGTGGGTGCATAGAGCATACATGAAGGCTAACTACGTTTTTTTATACATTGGATGGGTTGGGGATGCCTCCAAATTCACGTTCAAATTTTCATTGGCAGCAAAGGTAAGGACGCGATGTTTACCATCGAAAAAATATCAATAGAAGTATTTACAATTTTCACACAATACTTATATTTGTAACAAATTTTAAGCATTTTCTGATTAAGATTAAATCGCAATTAAAGAGATTCATTACAAAATTGTATACTATTAAGGTATACGATATATAGATAATTAATCTATTATATTACATATATTTTTAATTTAAAAGAAAATAAACGGGCATATTTAAAATCATCCTTTAATACTAATGGCTAATATTACTAAAACTATAATAAAGTAAATTTGATATCATTGATTTCACTGAGTTACTCAATGTTACTATTTCTGCCGAAGCAATACTAATTTTCATAAGGTGAATTTCTTGTTTACACGTTTTTTAATTGATTTTGAACATTTTAATATTCAAACGGCATTAATCATGTATTATAGAAAAAGTTTTTCGCTAAAATGTTTATAGAAGTGCTGGGCGAATGTAACAGCAAAGTTACAGCAATCAGTTCGGCGAAAGTATATTTTGACTAACGAAGAAAGATGTCACGAATAAATTCAATTTATTCGATATTCACGAATAGCAAATAGACTAATTAATGTTATTCGTGAATATATTCATTACATATGTATATATATATAATCTGTACATACATAATATATTCTGTATATACATATTTCTATTTATTCATACATTACTTATATATTATACTTAGAAGAAGAAATTTTAACACGAATAGATTTCTCTGTAATAGTCTAACAACATAAGGTGGCACAGTAAAAGCATTATTTTATTTGCATGAAATCTTCACAACTCTGTCGATTATCATAATTAAAGTTTGTTTCCTTAAGTTGTAAGATATCATACAAATCACTGTCTCCGTATACATTTATTCAATGGAGAATGTTTATTTTATACAAAAAAAAGATCAAAGAATTTGAAATATAGAACGTATTATTTCTTCGATTTTATATTTTTGTGAGCAAATAGACTAGCAAAAACACTTTGGGTTATCAGAACAAGGTAAAAAAAAAATCGGTGAGTAAAAGGCGTTTACACATATCACCTATGTATAAATCATCGTTACTGGCTTACTATAAAATGTTGAATGTAAAGAATTCAAGGTACTATATATTAAAAGATAATAGATTATTTATAATGAATATACAATAAATCGAAATTTGTTTTATAAAAAGATATTAAAAATATCGCATAAATGAATACCCCAAAGTGAACACGTGTATCATTAATTGACTACAAGAAATTTAAACGGACTTATAATAAATTTTTACGCGATACTTACATCGAATTACGTTTGATTTTCTTTTTTGTTGATATCGGATACGATTTTTATTTTCAGATTACAACTCGTGAAATTTGCATTTGAAAGCTGAACGATGGCACATTTTCAATCGTGTTAAATAAATAGCATAATGTTTGTGCAGTGAAAAAGCTTCTTTTTGTCTGGAGGTTTCAAAGCCAAAATGCTTATATTACTCCATTCTTCTTTGGTCATCAGTCTTTAATTGTACTACAGGTTTTCGGTTAAAACTCGTCATAATCGCTGAAATCCTACCTAATTATTTAGTACAGAATACTTTTTTGTTTTACAGAAGTTGTAGATACATCATCATTAAAACCTTTTGTAATTTCTTTAAATTGGAATCAGTTGAATGTTAAATTTTAAGATATGTCTTTCGTTTCTTATTGATTACCAAACTTAATTTGCCACGTATTTTTGAATTAGCATTTATAAGTTATGAAGTTATGCAAATAAGATTCGTGATAATATAAATGTATGTTCTTTCCATTCATGATATTACGTAATCGTACAAACAGTGAGTCAAATATTATACTTTCATTAACATCTGTTATTACTTACAACATTTAATCAACTGCGATTTATATAACTTATTTATGTTATATCGGAGCAGCATTTAATTTGATTAGTTAACGTAAGAATAATTTGAAAGCTTTAACAATAGGATACTTTTCTCACTTTCATTAAATTAGGTCGTTATTCATAATTGTTCAAGTATGGACAGGGTGCATCATTATGATCTACACATTCTATAACGGGATCATGTGTGCTATCCCACATTCCGGGGCCGCATTGTCGGCAAAGCCCTGCTAATGTGCATGGTAAACGTACAAGTTGACGAAAATGATGAAGTAGGCCTCTTGCCTTTCTCAATATGAGATTTCCATCCATATACATAGCTAAAGAACTAAAATGCAAAAGCATCTCATCTGTTCTCAGGTCTTGAGCTATTACATCATCTGCATAAACACACATTATAGCAAGACAAAGAAATAGATGAAAATGGTCGGTTAAATAATTTACCCAACAAGCTTCCCACATTATTAACGCTACTTCGGTAGGAAATTCACGTTTTAAACATCTGTAAAATATATATTATTAGAAATAACTCTGTATACGATTATAAATTTTGTAATAATTATAAATTATAATTATAAAATTTGTATTTACAAGAGTATCCATCTATGACAAAATAGAAGCTCCAGGGCATCCGTATGTTTTTGTAGATGTGCATAAAAGTCTGGTACCATTATTCTAACTAATTCCCTTAAGTAACACAAATTTCTGTCCATATCTACATCAGTAGGCGTACACACAGCCACAGATCTTTGCATTAAGCCAGCAAAGCACCAAAATGCTTCGATTTCGGAATTAAGTTCAGCTAATAAAGGAGCCAATAAATCAGACATACCTTGAGTATATCCTAATCGGGCATTATAAACTGCATAATTTAACAGAATATTTCTGTAAAAAGTAAAATACGATAGTGTTAATAGTAACAATATATATTTGAAAATTAGCATAATAATATAAAATATATATAAAATATAAATTGAAAAATTAAATGATTATTGTTATACAAACATACTTCATTATTTCAATGTTTGGATTATCCTCTCCAGCATAATAAGGATTTCCTCTGTCAGTACGAACAACATCTTTTTCTACAATACACACCACATTCCTCCAGAAATGGTCTGCTTGTTCTGGGCCCATACTCAGTCTACGTTTTTGTATTTCCTCGTATTCCTGTCTGCGAATGGCATCAATATGTTCTCTATCTTCATAGGTACTTTGATATGAATAACAATGAAGAAGGAAGGGCCACACAATTTTCCTTAATGCAGGTTCTAGTCCACCAAAAAATATTCCTTTACGAAGGGCAAGATCATCCTCTACCTGACCTCTCTCGTTTAATAAATCCTTCCAAGCTAGCGATGTAATCATCGGTACTTGTCCCTCTTCTGGGTGTAGTTCATCGCGACTTACCTCTGGCCGACATACCATGAAATGCCTGAATTATAGAGAAATTGTGAGTATTTAGTAAAACATTAATCATGTTTTCATTAATTAGATTCTACCTATATGGAAGTGTCTCCTCAGCGTCTGTATCTAAGCGTGGATAAAGCAATTGGTGCCATTGATGTAAAGTAGCTGCCAGTCTGTCTAACCCACCATGATGGAAATGTAGAATCTTATATTGGCTCTCTCTACTTGCGACTACTAATTGACCAGAAGTACAAGCTGGATCAGCAAAAAACAATCTTAGGGATCTCATTTCGCTGAGATCCACTGAAAACCTTCTACATCTATGTGCTCTACGTAATGTCACTGGTGAAGCTGTTGCACTTTCAGGAAACGTGAGGTTATGCTGTAAAGCTAAAAGTTCAGGTGATCTCATCCATGATGGGATTTCTTCAGCTACGAAGAAACAAAATTTACACGTTAACAACAACTACAGTTTAATAAAAAAAATAATCAAATTAATAAACTAAGTACCTTCTGAAGATACACCGACCGATAAGCTACATGTAGAGGTTAATGACATGCTACGGCTTTTCAGGCTAGTATCATCACAATAAGGATATCTCATTTCTTCGTCGATACTTATTCCATCATTTTCATGCGATTCAGAAACCTTTTTATCTTTGCAATGTTGATCCTCGTCATGTTTCAAATTCAGAGATTGAGAACGTAATTGATTCAAACCGATGCTGTGATCACTTTCTTCATGTATAGTAGACGATAAACTGTCAGACCGATGATAGTTTGTTTCCCGATTGATATTGACATTTGGAGTCTCTTTAACTTCTGACGTAAGTAGGGTTTGATGATCACATATGCTTTCTGCGTCATCGTTTTTCGTATCGTCACCTTCGAGACGTGCACTTCGTGGGAAACCACCAGAACAAACGCGTTCACAATCTCCGCAATTAATAGGTTCCTTTACTTCTAAACAGACGTCAACCTTTTCAGCATTTTCGTATTCACATTTTAAGTCACAACTTTCCTCTGATATTTGGGAATGGTGAGAGCTTATATCAGTGTCTCGATGAGTAGCGCAGTCCGGCTTCTTCACGCTTAAATTCTCTAACGTAGTCGGATGTTTACGGAGTGTGCTATTCGGGATCCAACTGAGATGTAAAGTTGGTACATTAGAATTTTTATTAAACCTACAGGTTATGGCCATATAACCGGGATGATGTACCACATCGGAGTTCTGTCTCATTAAAGTTGGTGGGTGAACGCATACGTTATTCTTGCAAAATAATGCTTCACCATCCTGGTACATAGTACGACGATTGTCCTGATTACAATCGCCTAAAATATAACTGCTTGCCTTTTTCAGAATATTTGGCAGAGGCATCTTCCTTTAAGGCAGATCTGTGCATATAAGTCATCTAGTAAATTTTATTAGAGCGCGGTGCGAGGATTTTTGCGTTTGTGCGATTAAATTTGCCTTTAGACAATATTGAATCGTCGCGGGGTTATAACGATACCCGAATGACGATCGTTAAAGTGATTACAAAGTATTATGTGCAATTATAACGAATCCGTACGAATACAATCTGACTCTTGACACTGGACAACACAGTATTAAGTTAACAGTTTCAGTTTCACTATTTCTTTTTCCTGACAATTCTTAGACAACATCTATGGAATACTTGGTGTTTCTAGAGAGCATCAGAACTGCAGTGGTGAAACTTCGTCGCGCAGAAGCGCGCGAATAGACCTGCATCGAAATGCTATAATGAACTGATTTCTTTTCCTGTAATGTTTCCTGTTGTCGTAGGCTTATTTAAGCATGCATGCATGTTATCACACCAATTAGCTTTGATATATACATAGAACCGATAAAATGTGCACACATATGGAGAAGCATGCATCTCAATCACTTAAGTCTCTCGTCTTTACCTGTTCTTTATTATCCTCGTACTACAAAGATAATGCGTTGTTAAAATTCTTTGTCAAAATATCAGAGATCGTCAAGATTCCATTTTTTAACATTCCTTCGTTTAAAATTCTTGGAAAAAAGTTAGTCGACTTAACTTTCACTTGAATGGATTCATGAATGAAAGATGTATCATCGGCACGTCACTATTCGTTGTAGACATATATTATCGAACTTTGAATGAAAACCCCAAGTATTTTCTCAAATGCGGAGCGCCCGTTACGATCACTCGTAATAGATCACTGTTACGCGGCGTTCCTTATTTATTTCATTGTTGGATTTCTAACGATGAATGAATTACAAATCTAATATCAGACCGCTGCTTAGTACTTTAGTAAAACGTGTTTGCCAACAGACAGAATACAGATGCCCCTTATCCAGGATCAATATTTCCATCTGATCGTGAACCTGGTGGTTAGCTTACTATCCGAGCTACCGACATAACGTTGTCTAGCGTTGTACATATGGTTTTTATTGATTTTTCTCCTTGTGTTAAGTTTGAATTATTTGTTCTCGATTTCGTAAAAAGAACTCGTGTTCTGTACTTGTAATTTCATTAAAAAAATATTTTTATGAGCGACCTTCATTTCCAACTTACTAACGCTTGTTTCAAGTATATTTAAAATATGAGCCAAATAATTTCGTTAAAAAATATGTCTTAAATTACCTAAAACTATTAAGAAATGAAATAGTATATTTACATCAAAAATCGTTTTTATTATTTTCTGAGAACTTTCTTTTCTATGAATAAAAAAACCTTTTGTTATTGAATATAAAAATGTATGAAATATATATCATACATGTAGAGTACGATTATCATTTTATAAACTATTTTAAACTCAAGATATCATAAGTGCTATATAAAATATCATTGACAATGATATACATAAAATATATTGTTGATGATTAGGAACATTTAAAAGTTACAAATGGTGTTCTGTTTACTTAATGGCATGTGTCTTTTTGATAATGAAAAACTTATTACTATATCACAGATCATAATATATTTATATAGATTAGTGCAATTCATAATTAAAAAGTATTTCATGAGTATCATCCAGTGCTAATGCTGCTTTGGGTCCACGTTTTAAGTAGGAAATTGTAGAATATGCAGAGAAATGAAAATCTTCTTGTAAATAACCGTTTCCGAGTAAATGTCCTATTATAGCTTCTCCCGATTCTCTTGTGAATTTCGGTATTGGTATAGAAGATATTCTTAATGTTGTGGCACCTTTACCATACCAGGCATCTATAAGCTTTAAGGCAGTCAATCTGGTTTCATTTTGTACTGCTCTGGTCATGAATTGATATAAATATCGACAATAAGGAGCTATATTCACTTGTTTACTCTCTTTAGGTTTCCGACAATGATCACACATTTCCGCACAATCATTTCTAGTCCAAGATTCTTCAAAGTGTACTGCGATCAAACTACGTCTACATGATGTTTGATCTAAACAATATTCTAGCATTTTGTATAAATTTTGTAAACCAACTTTATCTTGAAACACCATTGTGCTTAATTTAAATACATCTAATAATCTATATAATACTATGGACACAGCCTTTTTTCCATCTCTGCCCGCACGTCCACTTTCTTGATAAAAGTTCTCCATTGATTTTGAAATGCAGTGATGAATAACAAATCTTACATCTGGTTTATCTATACCTAATCCAAACGCGATAGTGGCAACTACAGCTTGATATTTTCCTGATATCCATTTAGAATATACTTCTGATCTATAGTCTGCCTCTAACATTGCATGATAGCATCCAACTTTCAAGCCCAATGCTCTTAAATCAGTTGTCAATTGTTCTGCATCTTTGATAGTAGTTGTATAAATTATGCCAGATTTATCCTTAAATCTATTTTTTAATAAATTTTCTATCATAGCTAAGCATGTGTCTTTATCTGTTGGTTTTCGTCGAACTTCGTAAAATAGATTTGGTCTATTAAAAGTAGCTCTTAAAACTAGACAACCTTGAATATCTAACATCTTCTGAATGTCCACAATAATTTTAGCTGGTGCAGTGGCTGTTAAACCTAAGACTGGCACACCTGGAAACATAGACTTCAGGATTCCTAAAAATTTATAATCAGGCCTAAAATCATGACCCCACTGACTGCAACAATGTACTTCGTCTATCGCAAAACAATCTAAACGTTTCATTTCAAAGGCTTTTTGCAATTTGTTCATAAAGCGATTAGATTTTGCCATGTACTCTGGTGTAACATAAATTAATTTAAGATCAGATTTCTTATCCACCAGTGCATTCATTATGACTTTTACATTTTCTTTACTACCTTTGGCACTTAACATTCCAGCTTTTACATTATGTTTTTGTAATCCATGTAACTGATCTTCCATGAGCGATATTAATGGTGATACTACTATTGTAATACCTTTACTAATAACAGCAGGTAACTGATAACACAAACTTTTACCACCACCTGTGGGCATAATTAAAATAACATCTACATTCGACATAATTGCATTCATAGTTGGTAGTTGCAATTCTCTTAATTTATCTATTTTAAAAACATCCTTTAAAGCTTTTCTCAGATCTTTAGACCAACTAAAATCTTCTTTTGTCCAATCCTTCTTTGATACAGAGAGACTTCTTTTCAAAAGTGCGTCATCCTTTAGCTTTTCCTTACGTTGAGTTAAAATCTGTTTACGATCTTCAAGCTTTTGCATTTCATATTCGATTTGTTTCAATTCAAAGTCAATAACTGCAATTTCATCTTCTTCATTGTCTAAAAAAAGAATAATTATAACAAATAATCTTAGAAACGTAAAATGTGAACATAACAAAGAACCATATATAAATACATTGATATGAATAATAATAATAACAATCATGAAGCGTAACATTCCAAATTTATTTATTTCTGAAAAAATATTATCTTTAATATTATAAAACAATAACAGACCTTGATCTTCACCATCTATAGTTATTATTTCTTTCTGATCTTGATTTTCATTGTCTGCAGTTATTTTTTTCGAACTGCTCGCAGACATTGTAAATAAATTAAAAAGATATTTACATATGACAATAGCAAAAAAGATTGCTTTATATTCTATTAGTAAATAACAAGTGCTGTTTAGTTAAATTATGCTATAATATAAAATGTACACATTCATGTGTCGACGATGGTTCATGCAACGCTGTATGTAACCTAACATAACAGTTTCTACCAGAATTACATCGTACCGATCAGCTGAGTCCAGTTGTTTTTTTGGTAGTACTACGTAGGGATCAGGCAAGTAACGTTGCACATATTGTTAGTGTCTGACATTAAGTAATTTATTGCACAAAAAAACGTGATTTAATCTCAATATTAAATATAATAAGCCATGTTTAATGCAATGTATCGTGCTTGTCCCTCTTGGCTCGAAAACACATTAACATCTTTGTATTTTAGGGGTATTCCTTTTTCTTATTATATTTTCAAAGGAACTTGTAGATATCTTTAATTTATTATTTTTATACTTCAGATTTTAGGATTTCTACGATTTTTATCGATATTTTTACTTTAGGAAAATTCCACTTTTATAAATATTGTGTTTTAATATAAAATTAGGTTTTTATTTAATATGAAAATTTTTTATCCAAGATATAATCATAAAGTAATTAAAGATAAATAACTTTCCATATTTGTAAGTATTTGAATACATATAATGTTCAAATATTAAAATTATTGTTTACTTTAATATACAATTGTTTTACAAATATCATTTTACAATATATATATATATATATATATATATATAAAAATATTATTTTACATATGCTATTAAATCTTAAACATTACATTGTATATCAATTTAATTCAGAGGTCTAAATATAGATTTTGCAGATTGTTGTTTGATCCAAGGTATATCAATATCAATGATATTGCACATGTGAAAAAGATAAGAAAGGAAATGTTTTCACTTTTATATGATAACAGACTATACAGCCTTAATAGAGTGTACATACATTTTATTGTATACATTAAATTTCAATATTAAACACAAGCGCTTTTATCTTTTTTAGCCAAAAGTATTTCAACCAATGGTTTTTATGCAAGACATTGTAATTCTATAATAATAAATCAAGACAACATGAAGGTTCAAATATTACCTGCACTCCAAGATAATTACATGTATCTAGTGGGTATTTTTTTACTTTTTCCTCCTTTGATTATTAAATTTTCACTTGTTATTTCTATTTAAAATTACAAATTATTATTATTTCATAATAATGATGCTGATGATAGTTCATTATGAAATTTATTTAACATTAAGTTTTGTAATTTTATAAGATTATCGACGAAGCATCGCAGGAAGCTGCAATTGTTGATCCTGTTGATCCGGACAGTGTTGCGTGTGCAGTTCAACAAAATAACGTGTGTTTAACAAAAGTTTTAACCACTCATCACCACTGGGATCATGCTGGAGGAAATGCAAATTTGTGTAAAAAATTTAATAACCTTCAGGTATATGGTGGAGATGATAGAATAGAGGCACTAACATGTAAAGTAAAACACAATGATACTTTCAACATTGGAAAGTTACAAGTTCGATGCCTAGCAACACCATGTCACACTAGCGGACATATCTGTTATTACATTACAGGAGATCAAGAATCACCAGCAGTATTTACAGGTACAAATATAAATTACATACTTAGTTGTTTGTAAATTAATCAAAAGATAATAAACATTAATCTGCAGGTGATACGCTTTTTGCTGGTGGCTGTGGTAGATTCTTCGAAGGTACCGCAGAACAAATGTACAAAGCACTCATAGAAATTTTGGGATCGTTACCTAACGAAACTGTAAGTATATAATTATATTTAGATCTCTGTTTGAAATAATCACTGACTAAGGTAAGAAGGATATATTTTGGATATTTTATAGAAAGTATATTGTGGTCATGAGTACACAGGAAATAATTTAAAATTTGGAAAACATGTGGAGCCAGAAAATGAAGCAATTCGCCAAAAGATAGAATGGGTTCGTATACAACGTGAAAAGAATAATCCTACTGTGCCAAGCACTATTCAGGAAGAGAAATTCACAAACCCATTTATGCGAGTTCACGAACAATCTGTTATGGACCACACTGAACAAAAAGATCCAATACAAACTATGGCATTCCTTAGAAGGGAGAAGGATAATTTTAAGGCATAAATTTATCATTGTTAGAAAGAAATCAGTGATGATTACATGCTTTTTTTAATCAATGTACAATGTTCTTCCTAAATAATTTTTGTTCGTTTTATTTATAAAACTTTGCTTTGACTTTCTATACATAAATATTGACATATGTGCAAATATATGATTATAAATTACGTATTTATAAATATCATTATCTTAAATACACAAATACTATGTTATATTTAAAGACATATGATTTGGCGTGTCTTCTGACTTTTTGTTATAAATTTGCATTTCAGCAACGTATTTTTCTTTGGATCGTTCATACATGTCGTAGTATACCTAAAAAAAACATGTACGATAAATATCTTAATTCAAATATTAGAAAGATGCAAACGACTTCTTTGTTAGTACATACCTTTTTATCTTCTGAACTGAGAGATTTCCAAGTAGTTGCAAGT